AAAGTTCTAGTACCTCAGGGATCGTGATTACTAGTGATGGAAAACGGAAAGAAGAGATGAAACGGCGGATTGAACAGCAGGCTGCGTTTTGCGGTAAGTAGCGCAAACCGTTGTGATTAAAGCACAGCTGAATCTGAAGAGTAATCTCTCGGTGTTCAAGCCGATCTTCAGCCCTTCCCCATGCTTACCAACGAACATGAATCGTGGACTATGACTGAAAAATTTCGAACCCTGGTACAAGTGGCTCAAATGGGCTTTCTATGGCAAGTCCTGATCTTACGTGTCTGGCATGGTCCGGAGTACGGACATACGCGAGAACCTTGGTGTACAGTCGCTGCTTCTTCAGATCAAAAATTCACAGCTGCAATGGTTTAGGCTTGTGCTGCGAATGCCTGCAGAAAAGAAGAGGAAATAACTACGATATGCCCAATCGCCCGGTGGATGACCCAAAAGTCGGCCAAGACTAACCTGGTGCAATTGTATTGTAGGAGTCTACTCTAGACTCCAGCTGTCTTCTACTGAAGCTCATACGCTGGCACAAGATCGGGCACTTTGCAAGCAGTGTCTAACGCGTCTGCCTCCGCGACCTGAAAGGAGAAGCGGTCGTGGAAAATGAATGAATTACTGGCTGTTCCAACTTTCATTTATGTCAAAGAATGAGGGGCACTGATAGCATATTTGATTTTTCGGTGTCAGAATATACATGTATTTCCTTATGGCCTGCCCCTCCGGTAGCATTTCTTACATTTAGCACACTATTTGCGTCGATGAAGTCACATCTTTCCAGAATGACGGGGGCTGTTGTACCTGAATTTTCAACATGACAGCTGCGAAATGCAGATAGATATTCTTTAACTCTGATGCTAAGCCGTCTGGAAACCTTCATCTTCATCTTCCATCGTCGCTTCTCTTTTTGGGTCGCGGAGTCTGGAAACCTTAATTTAAATCCAATCACAATCATTACATTTTATAAATTACGTTCCAAGTTTTTACTGGGTTGTTGGGATGCAATTTTTTGCAAAAAAAACACCCGGTGTCATCCTAGATTTTAAGTAGGTCATAAACGAGATATATAGTATTTTCTAAACGGTTCAGAAATATGGAAATAAAATGGTTTCAAAGTTATGGATAACTTTCCGGGTGGTCCGTCTAAGTTAAGGATGGGGTAGCGCAGTTTACTGTTTAATAAAACGGCTGTGTAAGAGTTTTCAGGGTAGATTTCACGTTCAGAGCGTAAAGGGCATGGCTAAAATATTATAACGTTCTCATCGGACATTATTAAAAACGGTTGCCTCCGACAGATCTTTTACCCTGTTTTTAATCAGATAAATTTGAATCAAATCAAAGGAGTAAACGTGCGTATCAAACACTTATTACCAATGCTTGGAGCGGACTTTTTCACTGTTCATAACAAGTCTTCACAACTAAGGAAAACTTCCTCTATCATATTTTGCACAGACTTGAATCCCACTACACTGGTAAGTGTCCTCTCTCAGACAGGACGACGAAGCTGACTGCGAGGGAGCACAGTGTTGATACAGGATTATGTCAGATCTGTTAAATACTGTGTTTAGCTGTATTTGCAGTACAACGACCAACCGGCAAGGAAAGTATTTCAACCTGCGAATTAACAGAATGAAACCAAACCCCTCCTCAAGAACTGCCATAGTCGCACTGCATCAGCGGTTCGAAAAAGGTTACAAGCAACACACGCATATATCACATCTCACAGATCTTCCGGATAAATATTGGGATTTTCAGTTGTTCTTGTTGAAGAAGTAATTCGGAGCAGCTGGGGCGCATCAAGCCGTTTAGTTAAATCGCCTATATGCTGCTTCAGAAGGACAATTACAACACGAACAAAATTCGACACATCGACTGCACAGATCCTGTTTATCATGATCACTTTAAGCCATTACATTAACAAGCGGGGATGTCGCTGGGGAGGAGTACAGTGGAGGCTTAGTACCTTGCTTTCAAATACACAAATCTTAGGTTCAAATACTAGTGCATTGTAAAAATTAGCCATATTAACTGCTGATTCCCTTGAGCCAAGAACTCAAGCTACTACGTTATGGTGCAACAAGCCGAGAAACGAGTAGGCAAACAGGTTGGCGCACCTGCGAATAATAATAACGACTAGGCAACACGACTAGTGAGATTCAGAGTTTTCAAGATACGGATGCTGTATGGTTACGGCTTATAGGTGCAATTCGGCAGCCTATCTGATAGTTAACTTAAAATCAACACAAGATGAAAACCATTTTTTTAAAAATTGCACAGGAATTCACAGCAACTGCTAACAATAAAAATTTTGAGAGCTTTCTAAAAAACGTACTACTAAAATGTACACGAATCAGACGTTTAGGAGTTAACTCAAAAACCTTTTATCAAACTCAAGCCTATCCTTTCTTTCTATTACAGTATACCTTTCAAAGGCTTTCTGTAGCAATTCAGGACAAAAGGAAATAGTTTTCAAGTACAATCGGTATAATCGCAGCTTAAGATTAACCATGACTACGAGAATACACCGTTGTTGAGCTATAGAGATCTTTAATAAATAATAAAAGCGTTAGTCTACATTTTTGAATAGAATAATCAATAAAATTAATTTATCATCATAAAAGTGGACACATAAATAGATGAAAATGTTTTCAATCAAGTGATTAAGCGAAGAAGGCATGCCGTGGGTAAAACGTATCTGTCAGACTGCAATGGCAACGGGAAAGACACCAGAGGACTAGAAAATATAGATTGTAGTACCCTTATTCAAGAA